CTACAGCAGTTCGAGTGGTCGAGGGTCATCAGGGGGGGGGTTGTTCGCAAGAGTTAGGGCACTCACCTGGAGGCGATGGCGTGGAGGGAGGCGTCGGTCACGCCCGGGCAGCGAGAGACGGAGAGGGCCGTGAGGTGGACGAAGCGCCCCGCGACCTGGGCCACTTGCGCATCGCCCAGCGCCTTGCGCCAGGGAAAGAGGTCGAGCTCGCCTCCCACCCCGGCATGGGCCATGGCGCGCCAACGGCGGCACACGGCGGCGCACGATAGCGCCTCGAGCAGAGAGCGCTGGGGACCCACCCCCTCGAGCAGGTGCTGAAACATGCACTGCCAGACCTCTGGCGGCAGCTCATCCATCTTGTCAAAATCTTCGATGTTTGGTCTCATCACTGCAGAAGATCACGACGGTGGTACGTACGCTGTTCCGTCGGTACGAGGCGAGAGTGAGCAGGGGCTCCTTGTCGAACGTGCCTGTGGCCTGATTGATGCGACACCGACCGCACAGTCCCAAGGCCTAGTCCCAAGCCGAGCGAGGGTTAGCCTATGGTCAAAGGCGGGAATGCGGGCAAAGGCGTCCTCGGCGTAGGGCGGGAGGGACGGCGTGCGCTGGAGGATGATGTTGGGGCGGAAGCGGGTGGCCTCCATCTGGAGCGGACTGGCCTTGGCGCGCAGTCGCAGGTTGAGGTCGTCCACCGAGTTCTCTGACACCAGCAGAAACTGCCCTTCGTTGGCGAACGCTATCTCTCGCCTCGGCCCCTCCTATTCTCACGCAAGAGCGTGCGAGGTCGCCGAGTCACTTATTAGCAGGATGCTGATGATGATGAGATGTCGTGAGGCTAAGCCCGTACCGCTTCGTCCTCCGTCTGTCCGCCCCGGCTCCGGCCAGCCTTGCGCAGCTTGGTTGGGGATTTGCGCACCAGGGTGCACCTGATCCCCAAAAACGAATGCAACCTGCAGTGATCAAAAGCTGCATCAGCACTGTCGTCACATTCTATGGAGAGGGGGGGAACCTGAGAGGGGAGGGATAGGTACCATTCTTTCACCTCTTCGTCGCCGTACACCGGCCTGCGCCGGCGTCGCCGCACACGTCCAGCGCAATTTCCTCATCGGGGAAGCGGTCAAGGTCAAGCGAGAGGCGCTCCATTTCTGGTAAGCCGTCAGTGAGTGGACAGAGCTGAGTGTGGTGTCATCATTAATGCTGAGAATGTGGGGCTTGCGGAGGGAGGTGCTTACCCGGTGCATCGATGTGCAGCTTGCCCTGCTCCCTATCCACTGTAGGCTGAATCTGACACAACTTGCTCACCTGAAGTGGAGGCGTTGGGCTGAGCGGAAGCGGTAGCGGCAGGCACTGAGGGGGTGGGCGGTATGTGAGCAGGCCACGCACCTTCTTTTGGTTGATACCGGACCCCGTCTCATCTACAATCATCCACTCCCTGTCATATACAAATCCGTGATCTCCTATCTCCCACTCGCCGCTGATCTCGAACCCTTTGCAAGACTTGATCGGATAGACTGTGTCCCCGCCACACGCCACACACACACACACACACACACAACGCTAAGTACTCCAGGGCCGCACACAAAGACCAGCAATCGATTGGGGCCATCATCAAGTATTCACGCACCGAACAGACCCGAGAGGCGGAGGTCAAGCTCCTTGTGCGCCTCTGAATTCAGCGCTCCGACGGTGGCCAGCGCAGGCGCAGTCTCCACGAAATACTTTCGAAGGAAACTCAAAAAAGGTCTTGAAGAGTGAGGGAGAAGAGAAAGGGTAAGAGCGGTTGCGGTCCACCCCGGGGGTCAGCGATTCACGTACGTCGATGTCCTCCCAGGAAGTCATGTAACCGATCGAGGCCCGGATGGCGCCGGTGGGTTTCCCATTCATTACGTCGTGGCCGTCCCAGCAAACATGACCGGCCTGTATTGTCGGGCGTTCATCATCATCATCACTGAGTCTCAAAGCCAAAATGTGATGGTGGCACACGTACCGCAAGGTTTTGCTTGACTTCGGCGGACGTGAGGCCCAGATAGTAGTGGCAGGCGCCGGGATTGCAGAAGCAGCCCGTCCGTATGTGTATGTTCTCCATCCCCGCCAACTGCTCGACCTCCTTGTAGCCCACCCACTCTCCCGACGCCTTGCGCAGGTTGAAGGCCACTATCGGACCCTGCGTGCTGGTGGGTTAGGTGATGCCCCTTTTTCTTTACGCGGTCACAGCGTAACGTTCGAACACGACGGGATGAGGGTTACCTGCTGGGACGAGTCCTTGAGGTGATGCCGGCCGTAGATCACGGCAGCGGGAGC